TTGCCAATATTTATGTTTGTGGAATTAAATAAAAATATAGACCTTTTCAAATTTACCCACGGTGTGTTCATCATGTACAAAACTACAAAAATGGATGCTCTTCTAAAAGTTGTGTTTTAATGTTGAAGACACTGAGTAAGGTTTTCTGTATATGAACCCACCACACACCAATTTTATTACATTGCTCTTAAACCACAATTTGTGTGTAAATTAATTTACAATACTAATGCATGGGAGAAATTAGAATTAGGGTGTCGTAATTTCAGTTATACAAGCTCATCCAGAATTTGGCAAGTTTAAAATGAAAGACAATGATTCCGCTAGGGTTTTTATGAAATAGTGCTTGCTCATGAGTTTTTCTTTCGCTCCCTCATGCAGAAACACTGGTGTATGGTTTTGCGTCTAGGTTAATGCAATGCTCCATTTGCTAGTGCCCCAACTAAATCGGCCACTGCCCAAAAGACCCAAAACAAAAACAAACTTTTTTTTCCTCGTTATATTGGCTTGTGGTTAACTTTCTGTTGGACTAAAAATCCTGTTTCTTACCTACAAGGGGTTGAATGATCTAGAACCATTGTACCCATCAGATTGCCTTTAAGCATTATTTCTGAAAATCCATAGTCTACACATTCTCTGTATACAGTATATCTGTATACCGACAAGAGCATTGTGCTACATGACAATGGTACTTTCTCTCTACTGTTATGGCTAGGAGAGGATAAAAATATATTATTTTGTGGTTTAGTATTGTATTTTTTATATTTGTAGCTGTTTTGTATGTCATGAATATTTTTTACAATCTTATTGTTATGATAGAATGTGTATGTATGTTTGTTTGTTGTTATTGTCTATATTTGTTTATTGGTCATTAGTAAATACATTTTTTTAATTCTATGTAAAAAATAAATTAATTGCTCCTGGTACTTGTTTTCTGTTGCCAGTAGGGGTGAGAAGAAACATTTAACCATTTTCTTCCAATGTTACTTTTTTACCAAATCTTTGCCAAAAGCAATAGTTTTTATTCTTGTTCCCTAGAGTTTTTCCTATTCCCACCTGATCTTACATGGCATGGGCATCATGTTCCCTCGTTCCCTAGCTTGTGTAATCCTCAACTTCTCTACACATATACTTCCCTGTGTTTCAAGTGCAACCCATTCTGACGTCTGGTGACCCATAAGCTTAAACCCCTCTTCTCTGCACTTCTCTTTTTTCCATATGATAAATCTCTATATCTCTTCTGCCTTTCCTGGGCTTGGAGGAGACACAGGTAGAATTCATGAAAAGACCACCATATTGTATATAGTCTGCATTATAGTTTATGTTGAGCTAGGATCACTATCTGGATTACATTCACTGATAATTCTGAAGAAAGCCATGGGGTGACTTTGGCTTTTGAGGATGATTTTTAACACTGGTTTAAGATCTCCTAGTAGTCTTTAATGTTCAATACTAAAACTGTTTTGTTCCTTTGGCCTGTCAGTGTAGGATATTATCTTAAATCATTAAATGTATCTCATTGCTTTTCTCTGATTCTAGAGGAGCAATGTCTTTTATTTAATGTGGTGACCAAATCACTCACAACAGACTCTAAATCCAGGGAGTTTATGCTGTACATTTATAAGTGCTAATATGACCACACTCAGAATAATTGTCTTACTTTGGTCACCATAGCACATAAAAGGAAATTATAGCCTTGAAAACAGTTCAAAGAAGAGCAAAATGAATGATTCCTAGTCTTAGAGAATTGCCACATACAGACAGACTAAAGGAACTAAACATCTTCAGTGCAGCACATGTGATTGAGAGGATATAATAAGTTCTTAAGGGTTCTTAAGGGCTATAGATAAGGTTAACCCAGGGGACAATTTCACACTCAGTAGTGAAGCAAGGACATAGGGTCACAATTGGAACTAAAGGGGTATTCACACTTCTTAACACTTAATGAGTTGTGGGTATCTGGAACAGACTTCAAAGCCTAAAGGTTGAGGCCCAGTCTATGAGTACTTTTAAGAAATGTCTGGACAAAAGCTCACTTAGCTAATAAACTACCAAATGAGCAAGATGGATTGAACCCTCTCATTTGTATCAATGTTTTTATTTTGTTTGTTATTTTTTGTATAAAGCACTTTGTGGAATACTTAAGGAAGACACTAGATGAAATAAATATATTTAAATATGTTTTATTATTATTAAATCACTATCCTGGGAACTGACATACTCCCACACAGACATGTCTCTATTATCAAAATATCTTTTACATAAAGGAGACATTATAATTCATCATACTCTCTTCATGTGTAGATTAAGCTATAAAGTTTTCATTTACATTGGTTTATTATTAGATGTAATTGAAGTGAAAATAACTATGCTATTTCTCATGTATTTTTCCCCTATGTAGTTTTTTTGTTTCTAGGGCACCTCATTTACTTTGTAATCTATTTGCAATGAATTGCAGAAATCTGAAGAGTAAGCAAATCTCCTCAGAAAAACCTTAGACAACCAATTATCAGGATTTTTTCAAAAGGATTAATAGCACACAGAAGACTGCTGATTGCTTAAGCATCTTTCAGCTTGAAGTACTTATACATGTGAAAAAGAAAAAGAAAATAAGGAACAAATTTAGCTGGGATTAAAAGAAAACAGGAAAACAGAACTATTCTACAACTGCCACATGTGTCATGGTTGAGCTTTGTTATGGAAGATCTGGAAATTAGTGAAGCTGTTTTTTCAGTTTCATCAAGGGTTCCATCATCAAATAGAAAAGCAAAGCCTTTCAGCAAAGATAGAATTTTGTTATTCTATGGAACAGTGCATAACAGAATCATTTTAGTCATTTAAATCAGTCACAATTTCTTCTGAAATGAGTGAACTGAACTCTGAACCAAAACACGTGTGAACAATAAAAGAAACACACCCAGTTCAACTAAAAGCACTTCCATTAGATGGTATGGGTTGTTTCTAAAGCTACTTATTTTTAAATATTTGAAAGCATTTTCTTTTTGCTATTTTGAGCAGAAAGGGGCATCATAATTGGGTTGTCTGAGTAAAACAACCTTGTAAACGCCATCTGTAAAATGCCCTGTCAATTCCTTTTAATTGAAACATACATAAAGCAAGGCATGCCCCATAAAAAATGGGACAACCCTTTGTTTTATGGCCAACAGCATGTTAAATTGATTTTTTTCATTTGCTGCGATTTGATTCTGAATCGCATCCTACATTCAGACTCCTTCATTTGACCTCATGTCCTGCTTTTGAATAAGTTTAACCAGTTGTTGTGCAGCTTTAAAACCTATTTAATTTTTTTGTTCATTTGAAAAACAAAACCAAACAAAAACAATTAGAAACCTCTACCTCTTTACAAACAACAACAACAACAACAACAACAACAACAACAACAACAACTGCAAAATACTTTGATTTACCAGCTAAACTAGGAAATAAACCACAAACCTAATGTTTGGTTTACTCATGATCATCCACCCAAGGAATGGCTAGAATAGATTCTAATTCTTTCTTGAACAAAATCTCTCCGGGATGTACAATTTTCATCTAGAATAAAGGGGAAGAAATCTGTAGCTGGACAAATTACAAAAAAAAACTGAAATATTTGTGCTCTAGGCAAACCTTGTCAGGAGAGTTCATCTGTTTCTGCTACAAGCAATCAGAACTCTCAAATTATGCATAATTTAGTTTCCCTGGTTTCAGTCTTGGATCACATAAAGTCAGCTGTAATTACTTCCAAAATGCAGACTTCTACAGGCACCTTGGGACATTTATCATGTAGTTAAAGACACAACAGAAAAAGATGTGAAATTAGTAGGAAATTGCTTAAATATACTTTATTGTTTCCCTGAAGGCAATCTTTTTCAATGATTGCCCCAAGGTACAGCAATGCTCTCACTTTCACTACCTACCTTGTTTTATTGTAAAATCATGAATATCTAATAAAATGCATTAATTAAACGAATTAAGCAAATAAATTATTAGAAAATAAAAGGCACTATTATACTGTGGACTTTTTCATCATTATGTTTCACAATAATATTAATCTAGAGAATAACATTGTGTTGTGAAGGTCTAAGTCTCTTGTAATGTTTTAGGTGTTTTTAAAGGTCAGTTGACAACAGTAGTGAGATCTTTATTAGGTATTTCAAAGACTTGTTTTCCTCACGTACTAGACGTCGCAGGTATTATTCACATCTAGTCAGTCTTATACGAGAATATACTGTATGTTATTCTTGTACAAAGTTCTATGAGAAACCAGGCAGGTAGTTAACCAGTAATAGGTTTATTCCATGTTGAAAAGAGAAGAAAGAAAACACAACGTTTCGGCTGCGGAGCCTTCTTCAGGTAATAAACCAGTCAATATTGTTTTATTAACTGTCTGGTTTCTCACAGTCCTTTTCGTTACAGATGAAAATTGTGTTAGTTTTATATGAACGAGTAAATTAATTTTCAAATAGTATGACCATATACATTTCCTCCATTCCATGTCTTCGAAATCGGCAGGTCGGCACTTATCTTTATCCGTGTTCAATAGCACTTAAGATAACACTAACCTACTGACATATTGAGGCAGGGGCTTTTGGGTTTTGTTCACGGGAGTTGACGTAGAGTACAGAAACGTAGAGTTTAGAGAAGTTGAGCAATCAAGTCTGTACTACTTGGGCTCTTACAAGCCTTTTGATTTGCCTTAGATATGCTCTAGGAAAATTATATGTTTGGGTATTTTCATAACATTTCATAACATTCTAGATTGCACACTTTTTAACTACGGTGACTTTTTGCGGTGCTCTTTCCCCGTTCATCTTAATTTCGTAAATGCATCTACTTGGATAATTGCATAGTTCTTGCTCATTCAACACTCCTCGAAACTACGTTTCCCAAATCACTCTACAACACTCCAGTTCACGTACTGTTTGTGTCATGTGTCTTGGGCGCCAGGTCCAATAGAAATGCTCGCAACGGGGTGCTTGGCTCTAAGTTGCAACTGCAGCAAAGAAAAGGAGTGTAGAAAGAAAAAGTTTTTAAGGGGAGTGGGGGAAGTTTTTGTTTGCGTTCCATATGTTTAAAGAATTTCACCGATTTAACTCGAAAGAGGACGAATACTTATTAATAGGAATATAAGACGCTACAATTTGTTTCACAACATCTTAATATTTTTCTTAGGACAGGGGCTTCACTTTCTTAAATTTATCATTTTTGTACTGCGTAAAAGGAAAGTTTGACTGCAAAGGGGGATTTGAAGTGATTGTCAAAAATGTCCGCTGCGAAGCAGTCGCTTTGCGCTGCTAAGCTTTTCATCGTTTTCTTGCTGTTGTCGGTAGTGGATCTAACGTCGGGATTTTATGGAAAAAACAGATCTTGTCCATCTCCTTGCGGATGTGTTGGAGATCTGTTGAACTGCAGTAGGAGAAAACTGGAAAAGGTTCCTGGGAATCTCCCTCCTTGGATTGTGCAATTGTAAGTGGATACTTGTATTGTTTGCACCGCAAGCTTTTGATTTATTTCTGCACTGTTTGTAAGGATTTCGGTAGTTTGCTACCTTTTCACGTTTGACAACTCGTGCTGTACTGAGGTGACCTAAATGTTCCTTTGACTTTTGAAGTTCGGTAACAAAATGCTACAGTGTGAATTATTATAATTTCTGACAGAAATTGCCACTTCAGTGTGTTGATAGAAAAGATAAAAGGATTTTAAAACAATCTTGTTTAATTGGGAACTTTAATCATTTTGATATTTAAAATAATTGCTTTTCCAACTGAATTACTTATATGGATTGAATGGCTTCAACCCATTTCAGAAAATTTCAGAGAATGCAGTTAACTGGGGCCTTAGCGGTACAGATGGATGGCTCATCTGAAGTGCGCATATTTTATTAGCATATATGCGTTTAATTACTTTGGGAGAAGTGGCGCATGTTCCATTGTAGGATGTATAATTCCTTACTTTCTAGTGCTCTACGTCGTTTTATTTTAATATGATGTATTTCAGTTTAACGTATTACATTGCAATCGTTTTTTAAGAGCGATATAAGCAAAATGTGTCAAGTAATTAGTGCCAGATAACGTAAAAAATATGATATAAAGATAAAAGGGATAAACAGCACGTTTTGAGAAAATGCTACTTTGTCTGATATCAGTATATTTAAAATTGATGTTGACTTTTTATATTTTTTACATATATAACTTGTTGTAGTTGGTTTATTTGTATACCTGTTTATGAAGTGTTTTTTATGTTTCTGTGCTACATGTATGTGGTTCTCCCTTCCCCCTTTCTCAAAATGCAGGAAGGCTTTCAATTAGTTGTGGCTAATTCTACTCAAATTCCTCTTCTGGGGTCATGCTGCCTTATTCATGAAATGTGAATGGTTGTATTGACATGAGGGGCTTAAGATTTGAATGGCAGCAGGGCGCCTAAATCGTATAAGAATGAAGATTTTAGAAAAAAAATCATTTTTTAGGTTTCAGACCTCTGTTTAGAAATATATTGTAAATTAATCTTTAAAGATTCCTGTCGAGTTTCATTTGGCATGGTGAATTTTAGAGACTAGACTCGTAACATCTCAAGTTACAGTTATATGTGGTTTGGGACTAGTTAAAACCAAAAACAATTTAATGTGGAGGCACGTAATTTAACGTAACGTGATTTCTCAACACATAATTAAAAACAAAATATAAAATGTATAAAGAAAATCATGGGGGACAAAATTAGAGCATCGTTTCCAGGAGTCCTTTTACACACTAATATTTAAACCGTCGTTTTTATTAATTGTGACAATAAGAAAAAAAACATTCTCATCCCTGCTAATTGGAAATTCTGAGCCACTTGAGGGAGTCGATTTTCACATTTTTATTTTTCTAAGAGGATTTGGTTTTAGTTTGCTAGTGTTATTTACTTTTTTTTACCTGAGGTCACAAGGGTAATTGCTGGTGATAATACAGCGCCTCCATCAATGACAATGTAAACACTGCTCTGCAGTGAAGTGACCTGAATGTAAATAGTTTCAAAACCCGATAGTTCCAGGGATGTATAAATAGTTTCAGTTAAACACGTACACTGTGTGGGTTTTAAACCTTTAAAAGAGAAGGAAATAAACACAATTTTCCTAAATCTGATAATGTACACTTTTTATCTAATTGAAATTAAAAACCCTTTGTCACGAGCTTCCAGGGAACGTAAGATAAGAAGGAAGGGCACGATTGATATTTTTTTTAATTCAAAATGTGTAACTATTTTGCGATGAAAGTGTGCAAATATACATATAATGTAATATATAAGCATATATTCTGTCCAGTAACGCAAGTTTTGGATGTAGGCGTAATATTTGGAACTGGTACAATAAAACGAATACCGGAGAATTCAATACAAAATAGAATGATGAATTGAAATTCATTGTTTTTTTTTAGTGTGGAAATTTTACTTCTTTAAATTGTTTGGCTGGAAACTAGTAAATTTAAAAGAAATCTGGTCTTCATGTTAAAAACGTGGTCTGGTAGAAAAAAATATATGTAGCTGCTTTAAAAAATCTGTGGTGTCTAACAGGCTAATTTACGAGTTACTGTTGAGCGTCTTAAACCTTAACAGGCTAGTCTTTTGTTTTGCAGCACTGCTTGTTTTTGCTGAATTAGCAGCTGCAAAGACCCTGATGGAACTGATTAAGACCTGTTGTTGGATTTGCATTTCAGACCAACTCTGAAAGGCTCTACATAAGATTCAGGTTTCTGTAAACTAGGAGAAGGAAATTTTGGAGACAAAAACTGAAAAAGTATACTTGTTTTTGAAGAAAACAGATCTTCTATCTTCTTCTAATAGATCTTCAGAGGTGTGTTAACTATTGCAGTACATATTATCCATTGTACTAGGTGTGAAGGGTGTAATGTTTAACTTGGCTTTGTTCTGGCTAATGGAAAGAAGAGATCATATTGGTCCACATGGGTTTATCACATGGTGGCTGTGTAGTCCTGCAGATATTGTGGCTTTTTCCTCCATCTTCTGTTTACACCTCACAAAAGCACATTATTGAAAATAATCCCTTTTTACTGCTCTGTATTGTTGAAACGTTTTGGCTTGACATTATATATAATGTGAATGAATAAAAATATACACATATCCAAAACTTGAATATAAACCAAGATATACTTAATAGAAAATGGAAAGGAAGTGCGGTGTATTTGCCTTTAACTAGGTTCGTTCTGAGACTGTGCTTTCTTGGTTAGAAGTAATGATACTTTAAAGTAAATGAAAGAAAATTAAAGAATAAAAAATGGAATTGGCCGGCATGCATATGTTCATAATTCATTCTTGATTCTAAGAACATTTTGAAGGACTATACATGTATTGGGCATATACAGAGAGATATATCTCACTCTTCTTATCAGAATATACAGAACACAGGATTTCTTAAGGAACTGAAGGTGTCTGAAACTTCAGTTTATCTTGTTGATCTTTATCTGTCTGTTTTGTGTAGGCCAGTTCAGAAACTTTTAGCTTCCTTTTGGCCTTTACGAAAACTGTATAACACTACCTTTTTATGCCATCTGTTTTAATCATTAAAGTATACTTTTAACCATGTGTGAAATGGACTCTTCTCATTTGCAGCTATTCTTAAATAAATGTGAAAAAATAAAGGATGCATAGCACAATATCAGATATTTTATTTTTCCTAAGGTTTGTTAACAGATTGCAAGTTGTTTTGCTCAAAAGTCTCTTGATGGCTTCCAGATGTGTGCAAGCTAAACTACTGAGCGAAAGTGTCTGGCTCCACAGCGTTGATCATGCAGAGCAGCGTCAATAATTGGAGAGCTTTATTGTTTTAGGCCTTTGCCAGGATTAGTGCATGTTTCAACTCCGACCAAAACGTATCTGCTCATGCCTGTTGCTGTCTGGTGGCCTGCTTGGCAAGATGTTCCACAAAACCTGATGTCTTTAGAATCCATTAATAATTCCTTACAGAAATCAAAGTTCTGAGGAGCATTAAGAACAAACGCCTACACTCGCATCCACAAAATACAAAAATATGCTTTTAAAGCCATTTTTCAGTAATATGGACACTTTTCCTATTGGTTTCAAGCTTTCGAGCCAAAATTGAAATATTGTATAGAAATAAATTGAACCTGTTATGTTAAACCCGAATTGTTATTTTCTGTGGTATTCATTTAGCTGATTTTGTTTTTTTCTTTACAGGGATTTGAGTCATAATAAGTTAAAATCACTGGATGGTAACTCATTTACAAAGCTTCACAAGCTCCTTGAAATGTAAGTATGTGTTTGGTGCTAATTTAGGAGTACTGTATGAATAAATGAACAAGTTCCTAAGTAAATAGAAATGATCAGTTTCCATGTAATTTAGATCTTTTCTTTTTTCTTTTAGAAAATTAAACAACAATGAATTGGAGTCTATACCAGATTTGGGGCCAGTTTCCAGAAATATTACAGTTCTCTTATTGTAAGTACATTAATGTATGCATACCAGATAGTGTTTCCTTTGTTTATTTTATTAGGAAATGAATAACTTATAAGCTTTTGAATTACGGTGCAAAGCAAAATCACAAAAAAGTTTTGGTATTGGACTGGATTTTCCTTGTTGAAGGAAAGTTTTACAAATTGCAGTTCTATGTTGTCAAATTATTTGATGAGATATTTTGTATCAGTATATTCTTTATGTGAAATATCCACACATTTCATTGTCATATTTTGCATATACTTTTGTAATCTGTTGAAACCTGAACCATAGAAATGTTTCTGTGATTCTGAAAATGGTTCATGAACTACCTTTTTCACTGCTGTGGATTATGATAATGCATCAGTTGACTGTTGTATTAAAAGGGTTGTATAAGTGTTATGTATCAGCCTAATGGCTTTTACGGCATATAACAGCTGAGAGTCTCAGCATCATTACAGACTTTTGGATAATAGTTTGTCTATCTTTATATGTTTACCATAGTGAAATGGGCTTTATGTGGATGCACATTATATGTTTAGCTTATTATTGGATATATGTCTCCATAAATAGGGTCCTTTCTGGAAATTGTATTTTAAGCTTAATATTCTGGAAAAGCCAGACCTGATTTTCAGTACGTACCATATTTTAAGTTTGAGACTGGGTAACTGTTTCCTAGACACATATAGAATGTTTAAGAGTTAAGGAGTTTCTAACAATGGCTACAAGGCACGTTATTGCCCTTGAGAATTGGAGACTGGATGATGTGACGGCAGGTTCTGTGGCACAGTGTCTAGCATTGCTGTCTTGTACTCTGGGGCCCTGGGTTCAATTTCGGAACTGAGGTACTATTTGTGTGCAGTTTGTATGTTCGCCTCGTGTTCTGGGCTTCCTCCTAGAGTCCAGAAACATGCTGGGAGGTTACTTGACTTCTGGGAAAATTGTCTGTGTGTGCCCTGCAGTGGTTTGATGTCCCACCCAGGGAGTATGCTGTCTTGTACCTGTTGCGTGCTGGGATGGTTTCTGGTTAGAAAAAGCAGTAAATTGGATGGACAAAAAATAGTCATTAAACTATTGTCTGTGTCTTCAGTATGCCAGTCATATTTCTAGACATAAAGTTCTAGAAAAGATCTAATTGCACTCACAGTATTGAAGTATGTTTACGTTTGAAATAATTGAGGAGTTGCCAAAGGGGAGAAATGTTTATGGGTCTGTGAGTACTGTGCATTGGAATATGTTTTGACTGTATCGTCTTTTTAACCAAGTAAATCAGTTAAGAACAAATTCTTGTATTCAGTGTTTGCTTAGCCAACAGCCTTGCACCAATGGGGTACATAAAGCAAGTCGATTTATATTTTAAGTAACAGTACAAATGACAAATTCAAGAGTTGCACACAAATGATTTAACCATACAACTGAAAAGGCTCTTGGATACTCTAGTGATAGGTGGATCATTTTCAGATTATTTAATATATAATTCCAGTTTCTGGCTGTAATGAATGTTAATAGCTTGGTTCCCCAAAAAGTTGCTCTTTAAATGTTCAGTCTAATATGCTACATCTTTGTGCAATCTAAAATTTAAGAATTCCAGTAAATTCTGCAGATAGGAAGGTGTTTTCCAAATTATTGCCAGTCATAATCAACTTCTTGACAAGTAAATCTATGGCGTCTTATCTTGGAGAAGTGTGTGTATGTGTGTACGCCAAAAGGCAAATCACTTTTTTTAGTGCTGGCAAAGCACTTGTGGAGAATGTGTGTGTGTGTGGTATTTCCTATTGGAAAAAGAACAGAGTTTCTAAAAGCCATCATATGACTCCCTTTTATGCTGTGGCGCCTTTAATGAAAACCAGGGATTGCTTTGCTTTGGAGAGTGGAGGATCAAGTACTTAAAAGACGTTGTGAATCAGCAGTGAAGATAAGATTAACTTATTTCATGTCTCTGTGTTTGGCCACTTACTTTATTAATATAAGAAACAAAGAATAGTTACAACAACTTAAAACTAGTATCTTTCTTTAATTCTGAATCAAATCTCACACTTCTGGGTGCTGCTCAGGGAATGCCAGATAAAGAAAAGAAAGTTTCAACTGATGTTTTTGAAAAGTTGGAAGAGTTAAATCACATGAATTCCTGGAAAATTGTTCAATTAATTAAGATGATCACAACTCAATTACTTACATCTGGCGGTCTATTGGGGCTTGTTTTTATGCTGGGCTTAGGTCAGCAAAGTCAGATGGAGCTGCCGCTGTGTCTGCTTGGCTGTTTAAATAAGAAATAAGTGATATTCAATACCTCAGTGCTTATTTTGGGGGCTACATTTGAAAAACTAAAGCACAGGAGGGGAAAATTTTAGTCAGTATTAAGTATATTGGGCCTGCAGGCATCCTTCTTTGTTTTTGCCATCATATTAATTATATACAGAAGGGTGCCTTACACCATCAGAAAATTATTTGTATTTTATTTACTCATAAGTAGTGATGCATTTATTTTCTTGCTGGCTGAGAAAGTCTGATTTCAGCTGCTTTTAGATTTTTGCTTTTTAAGGGCGTTTTAAGAACTTGTTTTGTGCAGTTTTGGCTTCTGTTGTTCATAAACAGTTCAAGCTCTGATTATACTCAGTTTGACTGATTTTTTTCAGATAAACTACTTCCAAATGTGGCTAAAAGCTAATAGCTCTTTTTTTTTCTTCTTGGCATACAGATTTCCAAAGTGAAATATTTTGGCAGTGTTTTTGATACACATTTGAAAGCAAACAACATTTTATGCTCAAAAAGCAACAAGGCTAGAATTCTCCTTTAACTATCTGTAGACTGTTGTACAGATCTTTCTGTTACTTAATCCATTGTGTGGCACATGAAGTGACAGATCATAATGTTAATACAAATGGAACTAGTCTTAGCAATGTAAAATAAGTTTCTAATGATAGCTTACTTTAAAATGAAATAGCTGAATTCCTTATGTTAAATCCCATTCATTTAGCTAAATTGAGTTTTGGTAGACACTGCATACACATTGCTTAGTGTGTAAATTCTAGAATTCACTAATTTGTGTAAATCCAAAAGCAAAATACCTAAGTATTAGTGTTTTCATTCAAAACTAAACATATTTTTACATTTTGTCACAAGCATGCTCATCCCACACTATTGGGAAGGCAGATGTGAAAGAACATAAGAAATGTTCAAATGAGGGGAGTCTGTTTCAGCCTGTTTTGCCCACTTAGCTATTCATAGCTTTATATAATAAGGATCTCATCTAGCCATTTCTTGAAAAATCCAGGGAACCTACTTCAATAACATGGCTGGCAGTGCATAGAACTATGTGAACATTCATTTAAATCAGAGAATAAGAGGAACATCTTTACACAACAGGTTGAGGGAGTGTGAAACAAGCTACAATCCATGTTGAAGCTGGCACCCAGGTTTTAGAATAGGCAAACCATTACCTTTTAACACCCAAGTGACCTAGCTGTACGAAATAGCCTTCTTGCATATGTGAACCTTTTTACGTTTGTTTCAAGACCTCACAGATCTTTGTTTAAGTGATTATTGAGGTATCCTTTTTCAAAACATTGTGTACCATGTGTGATTTCATTCTATTTGATTAGTATCATCTTGTCATTACTCTTGGTAAAATAAGCTTTGGAATGTAATGATGAAGGGACATATGTCATGTATGTCTGTTTTTATGGGCTCCTCTTCTCGGAGGATAAAAAAAAAATCAGTAGTAACACAACTACAAGATTGACAAGACAGCCCCAAGGTTTAATGTCATGACTCCTAATAAACTTATTTACTAGAAAATCAGTTAAACAAATTTGAAGACTCTCTATCTAAATGCACAATGTTGTGCTTGTCTGTCTGGGGACTGGCCTGTGAACTGAAGATCTAGTGATAGGAAATAAAAACCGTTTACAAAGCAGTTTTTGTTTTCAGCCCTGGTCATTAAATGCCACAGCTTCTGATTCAGTGTTAAAAACACATTTTGAGTCACATAATTTATTATTATTGCTTAAACTTCTTAATTACCTCGACAGCAAAATGTACTTAAAATATATGCTATAAAAAGCATTCAATAATGGAACTGAACTAGGGAGCTGATTTCACTGGAGGGCCCTTAGCAGCTGAAGTATGTGGCCATTCAATTCATCCTTTTGATTAAAAATGTTAAAACATTTTTTGCAAATGTTATTAAAAAGCAGTGATCTTGTTCTTTTGGTTCTGCCTTTAATGTGTGTCCTTCTAAGATCTGGTATCCTTAAGAGTATCTTTTGTCAAATCTCTGGAGCAGACTTGTGGGTACATCAGGCATAAAATTAATAGTCTTTTGCTTTCAGGTGGCATTTCTTCTTTCTTAAGTTTCACTATGTTGCAGAATGGCATAATGTAGTCTCTGACATTTGATTGTGTAGTTACTTGTTGTCTAGTTCTCAAGATGAGGGTATCTGAGAAAAGCAATATCTGATGTTGTCGTGGTAGTAGGCAGCAGGAATTGACATGGAACTAAAGTTCCTATAGTTGCTAAATGTAATTTACCTGAGCTTTATTGCTCTATTGGTTTTATTCTTTGATAAAGGTAGTCAGTTATTATTTTAGTGTGTCCATACAGCATAGGAATTGATCTGGTTCATCCTCTGTGTACTTTTTCCAGATCAGTATTATGTTCTATGAGAGGTTCCCACCAAAATTTGAAATTGCTTTGTAAAAGGAGTCAGACATGAACTATGAATGGATTTTAGCACTACCACCATTGATCTTGATTCACTTGATATTGTTTATTCTGAAAAATGGTAAACAGTGGTATAAAGGTATGTTGTTGTGTTTAGCAATTCTGCTAATATAACATTAATACTTTAATAGCTAGACATCATGAGTGTGAGAGCCACATACAAGAAATGTTTTTCCCAAGGAAAATTGTGCATGTCTACCCCTGCAACTACAACATAACCAGTGCTTAACAGCAGGACTTTTGGGTGGTAGCTAGGATCCAATTGCAATATGAATATACAGCAGATGAATAATAACTAAAACTTATTTGAGTACTCTCCACTTTTGTAGTTTATTCATATACAGAAAAAATTGTTTGACCATATTGATTTTTTGGTCAAATTGTTGGCTTTCAGCTAGCAGTGATGTATATGTGGGTGTGTCATCCCATGTCCTTACTAATCTTTTTTTTGTTGTCAACAGACAAAATGCCAAGAAGCCTCTTGCTTAAAGAAATAGTCAAAAAGTCATTAAGAGTTGCAAAGCTCAATTTCATGTAAAATCAGCAAGCACAAAGTGACTTTTCAGCTCATATAAAACTTGAACATTCATCATAAAATTAAAACAATTAAACAGCATTCTATAAGAATTACTCAGTGTAATAATAAAAGTGGTGTAACACTTTTAATTGCAAATTATTTGAAATACATTTGACAAAAGTCATACAGCATATGCTGTTGCCATTTGATAAGGTGCAAGATCTGATGATCTTGGCTCCTGAATGTAACAATGCAACACCAATATACAACAGAAGTGTGATGTACATAATTATTTGTAGTTTTGAGAGTCAAAGTGGAAAGCTTCAAGGGCAAGCTTTGAAAGAGTGAAAGCATGTGTAGCAGTGCAAAGAAGCTGTAATATAAAAAGGTTTTGACTCTGAGTTAGGTACATATCTATGTTTCATCATTTTGTGCTAAAACATAGATGTGTCCCTAAAACATCTGTGGATGTTGAATTTTTGGGTCTTCTAATCCACCTTCATCTAAAGATGTCGGGCATAATTTTGTTTTTTTATAATAATTGGTAATAAGGGAAATACTTGCTGCCTTAATTATAATCAATAGTATTATGTTGTTTTGAGTTACATAGCCTTTAGAAGATAGTAGGCTATTTGGTCTTGCACAATTTCATTTTATCAAGGATATGTCTTATCGATGTGTCAAGGATTTGATTTTTAAAGAGACTTTTAAAAGTCTTTTTTAAGTCTTTTAAACAACAAATACTGCCACCTGAACCCTCTGCTTATAGACTACAGCATCCTCCTTGACAATAAAAAAATATTCTTCTACACAGCCTACAGTGGAAATTAAACTGAAAATAATAATCCTTTCAGTTTCAGCCCTTGAGACATAAACGCAAAATAAATGTCCAGTCCGTATTATGATTTTTGTCTAGCCCATTGGGTAGTTGCTAATTACCAAAGAGCATATCATCTAGCCATTTCTTGAAAGAAATCAGGGAAGTAACTTTGTCAGCATGAACAGCATAGCTTGATCCATAGTCCCACAACCCTTATAAAGACGTTTCTCCTGTTCTAGATTTAAAATATACTTGCACTTCTGTTCTGTGATACATGTTTCACTGTTGATTCTGTAGAAGTCAAGACTAATGATCAGTGGCTTGTCAGGGATATAATTAATTAATTACAGTTGGATTAGATGCTAGTTTGTTGCTGAAGAGCACATTTTGACCAGGTGTGTTTGTACCTGGAAGGTAGCAGACATGCAAGCACAAAAACACTAAAGCCCCGTATCCTGTTGCCACATCACAGCTTAAAAGCCCAGGGCTGAATCCTGTATGAAGGGTATGAAGCTGTTAAAAGTGTTGACAGATTCTTTTTGCTTTGGTGCAGCCAGGAGCCTTGTAAGTTTGATTTCTTTCAAGGAACTGGAAATTCAGGTTTTAGTCTCCCTACTTGCAACTTTTAGACTAGGTAACACGAGACATGAAACCCAACTAGTGTGCAATGTCCCAGCACCCTATAAAATACTGCAGATTTGTGCAAATGTATTATGGTAGAAATGGATTACCTACAGCATCCCTAACACTAAGTAATTAGTTATATATATAAATTAATAGATGTATATATAAATATTTTAAGTTGTTAGAATGGGGAGCTGTGTCAGCATTTCAGTAACACGTTAGAGGTTATTTCCATGTTGAAAAGCAGTAAGAAGAATCTCACTTTGGAGCCAAAAGAGGCTGAAGTGTTCGATGTGTTTATTTACTCTTTGTTTAAAGCTTAGTTTTGTTAACAGTTCATAGAAGTGGTCACTATATTATACTTCTAATATACTTATATGCACATTAAATTGTTACACTTGAGAGATGCTCTTAGTTTACCTTAGGTTGGGATATTTAATATACTTTTAAAATTGCTAAAGTTTTTAATTTATTCCTCCTAATGCCCCTTTTTTCTGGAATTTTGAGGCACGACTGAAGTTAAGAATTTTAACCCAATTAAAAAAATCAACATAATGAAAGAAGCATATAGATATTTCTTAAATTATGTTGATGTAAATATGAATACTGAAATAAGCTCTACTGTCCAGTGGTATAAGGAATTTCTGTTTTATGCAGCAGGCCCTTTACAAAGGGCACACTGTGCAAGTTGTGTTTATAACTGAACAGCTTTGCACTGCAATTTAGAAGGCGTGCAGTTCAGGAAATTGCTGGCTTCTGCTGTGGTATGCTTTCACTAAGGGAATGTTATTCATCGCTAAAGTAATTGCCAGTTTTTAATACCTTGTTAGTAATTACCTTATAAACAAAATAACACAGTATAAACCAGTGGCTGTATGACCTGTTACCTAACTTGATAGCATTAATTAGCTGAAGTATCACTGTATTGACACCTGAAATATATATATTTTATGGAACCTGAAAACAAGCTATGTATTTATAAAAGAATATTGCAAGCGTAAAAGTCAAAGCAAAGAGGTATTGTGAAGAACTATAATTTGTTAGAGTGCTTTGATTGTGCTCTAAAGGAATTTATCTATTTTATATGCTAAAATTCTAACCTACTTTTTTACAATTTTGCAGAGCTAACAACAGGATTTCAAAGCTGGTACCAGAAACACTGAAATCTTTTCAATCCCTGGAAACACTGGACATCAGCAGTAATAATATCATAGAACTTAAAGCATCATCATTCCCAGAGCTGCCTTTAAAATATTTGTAAGTTTGTTTTTTGTTTTTTTAAACTGCATTTAATAAAACTGCATTTGCTGTTAACTGCATTTGATTGAGAATCAATAGTAGTAACCGTTTTCTTTGTTTCAGATTAATGAACAACAACAAAATTGGAGTAATGGAGCCAGGTTGTTTTGGTAATTTGTCAAGCACTTTGCAGATTCTGAAGCTAAACAGAAACCGCATTTCTTTGGTTCCTCCCAAGATGTTTCAGCTACCCCATTTGCAACACCTGTAAGCTATTTTTGTTTATATATGAAGCAGTGATTGGTGTTGTTACTCTTTGGCATTGCCCTCCATATATTTTTATTTTTGAATCATTTTACAGAGAACTAAATAGAAATCGAATTAAGAAAGTCGACGGACTGACATTCCATGGATTGCATGCCTTGAAGTCCCTGAAATTGCAGCGAAATGGTATTAACAAGCTGATGGATGGTGCTTTCTGGGGGCTAAGTAATATGGAGGTTTTGTAAGTATAAGCTTATAAGTATATATATATATTATTGATAGCATTACAAAAGCATGCATATTCTTCCAGCTACATTTCAATGAATAATAAATAAAATTTATTTCAATTGAATATTTGTTTATTCCAATCTAATTCTAAAAATTAAACACCGCTATATATATAAAGGAAGTCAGCAAAGAAGATACACAAAGTGACATTAAGTGATTGCACAAGTCTTTATCCTCCTTATTCATGCTGGAAGCAAGTTTGGCAGCAGTTACTGCAGTCAGTATATTTGGATTGTTTTCTCCTAGCTTTGCACAATGGGATGGTGTAGTTTTTATCATTTTCCTGGCAAAATTGTTTCCCTTGTCAGTTCTGACAAGATTGTTTGGGATATATGATAGACTGCAATCATCAAGCCTCATTATAAATTTGGAAGTTAGGACTGACTGCCCAGTCAAGGATATTCACTCTCTTCTTATCATTGTGATATCTCTCTTCAGTGTGGTTTTGGCCTTGTGCTTCAGGTCATTGTGCTGCTAAAATGTGAATTTTTAACAAAGTTTTAGATTCTTTGGTGAGTCGAACAGTTTTTCCTTTAGGATTTGCATGTTCTTTGCACCACATTTTTCAATATAACGTGCAAATCCTGAGAAGCTCCTTAGTAGCTGCTTCTGCAAAACATCTCTATAAACTGATGCCGCCACCACCAAACTTGACAGCTGGGATTGTGCTGTGTTTGGGCTAGCACCAGATGTAATGCTTTGCATTTTGACCAATGTTAATTTTTTGTATTGTTTGGCTACAAAACCTTCTGTCACATATGTGCAGTATATTATATGAGATTAAAGATAGACTATTTAAGATATACTACATATATGATTTAAATATTTTTTCAGTAGTCCCTTTTCTTGCCACTCAGCCACACAGGTTGACTTTGTTAGGAGACCAGTCTATTGCTGAACAGTGACTCCCATTTCAGACGTAGCATTAAGGAAATCTTTCAGAATTATTGTTGACTAGATAGTTAATAATAATAGAATGGCATCTAATATTAGTTCCCTGCTTGCCTGACTGCTAAGTTTGGAAGAGCAGCTTCATTTCGGTAGTTCTTAGGTGGTATGATGCACCTTCCACTTCTTAATGGTGGTCTTCAATTTAGTTTTTGGGATAAGTAACAATCTGTGACTCTGTACCACTATATCCTGAATTTGAATTGAATTTTTTTACAATGCCCCTTGGTCCCCCTTGTCAATTTGCGATATTTCAGTGTGTGTTGAGGCGTAAAATTCAGTATCTTAGGAAACTTAAAAAGATAAGGTGTATTTCTCTCTCCCCGCCTGTGTGTCTCATGGAGAGCAAGCTGGGGTATGCGAAAAGACAAATTCCTAATGCAAGAAATTGTATATGGCTCATAAAGTGATCTAGATTTCTGATCTTAGTCTAACGTCAGTTTAAGTCCCATTAATTAAGGTGACCCTGAGAAGAGATCCTTAAACTCTACTTTTGCACTTGAACTGATTTAGGTTTGTTTTAGAGAAGCTCTTGAATTGCTGGGGAATAAGTAATTTTACGTTCATTTTATCTGGCTTAGATAGCAGCCTTGCTACGAATTCAATTTAAAAAAATAGTAAATTATGAAAATTATGTTTAGTAGAATTTGTAGCTACATTTTTTAAATTAATTTTCTTTTGCAGACAACTGGATCATAACAACCTGACAGAAGTCAATAAAGGATGGCTCTATGGGCTGTTGATGTTACAGCAGCTCCACCTCAGCCAGAATGCCATCAGCAGGATCAGACCTGATGCCTGGGAGTTTTGCCAAAAACTCAGTGAGCTGTGAGTTGCTTTTATTCTCTTCCAACTTGAGTGCAGAGTTCATGCCAAAACATGAGCCCCTTACCAGTGATCTATGAGGTTTTCATAATAAAGTTTCCAAGGTGACAACTGTCTGACAACAATAGGTTTTTTGTTAATAACTGAAGCCAAATAAAATTCACAGCAAATTTTGATAGTGTGCAAATTATTAAAATTGTATTATCAGTTATTTTAAATTTATAGTGGATTAACTAATCAAAACTATGAAAAGCATCTTGACATAAGTAATCTGTCTACACTTATTGAGATGAGTTAGTCTTTTTTCTGGGATGTGCAGATAATATTCTGCATACATTTCTGTGGAAGGATGCATAAAATTAAAGTAAAAGCAGATCTATGAAAAATAAGAGGAACTTTGTTTAACCATGTGTTATCCCTAGAATCAAATTCTTAATCAGATTTGAATTTTTAAAGAAATTCAGTTAGAAGAAATGTAAAAGCCCCCCAATAATCCACAATCTCCCACACTCCCAATTGGCTAATTGATTTGTTAATCAACCTCAGTAAAATTTGTAGAGATGTTTATATGGCCACACTTTAGAAGATAATCTATTGTTTTGCCTTTATTCTGTATTTAATTGCTTCATTGCTGTATTCACAGGGATCTCACCTCAAACCAATTAACACGGTTAGATGAGTCCAGCTTTGTGGGTCTGAGTCTGCTTGGCGAACTCCACATAGGAAATAACAAAGTGAGCTTCATTGCCGATGGCGCCTTCCGGGGTCTCTCCCACTTGCATACTTTGTAAGTCTCACAATTATGTTCATATAAACTGTTAATGGTGTGTGCCTTTCTTGTTTTGTGCTGCATTTGGTTTGTTCTTCCATAATGGAAACCCTTTTAAAGCCTTCGTGTTTATTGCATTGAACACAGTAACTACTCGCTATTAGTGCAGTTTTAGATTATTTCCCAAACAATAAGTTCTATTTTTATTTTATATATATATATGTGTTTTAAACTTTCAGCTACAGTAAGATGATTAAATACAGTAAGGTGATTAAAAATACAGTAAGGTAATTTAAAAAAAAGTGAATTTTAGTTTTTACAATCCAGGGTGAAGTGAACCAAATGCAGCTCCAAGGCTTGCAGACATTCTGCTTGTTTTAAATGGAGTCAAATGTCAGCTGTGCAAGGTCAGCCAAGGGCAGGTGTGTAGGTAAGGGGTGGTGATGATTATACAGGCAAAGGTCATTCATCATTAATCTGAAGAGGAAGCTAGTTGTTTGGAAAGATTAAAAAAAGTAGATAAACACACTGTTGCATTGAAAATCAAGCCAAAGTAAATATGAGTTGTTATTCACAGGCTTGAGAATTTGTTTTTTCTTAACTTGTTATAATCTAATAAATCTGAGGGTGGTTTATTGGAGACTTAAGTATAGAAATGGCTGTTCTGTGGAGTTTCTGTTTGTCTGCTTATTTACTTATTGGTGCCCCCTCTTGCATTTAATGTGACCTTAGAAGTATCTCTTAAGAGTATGCAAAGCCAGCAGGAGACAGTACCTTGAATTAACTACCTAGGGCCTATTTAAAAACAAAAGAAGCTTTAAATGCTTTTAACTATACCTTTCCTGGAATATACAAAAGCATAACCCATATTATGCTTAGGAAGAATAGATCATTTGTGTTCAGGATATTTTAACTAGACTTTTAATCCTATTTAGGGATCTGAAAAACAATGAAATTTCTTGGACCATTGAAGACATGAATGGACCATTTTCTGCTTTACACAACTTAAGAAAGCTGTAAGTTATTGTTTAGTTATATATTTTTTCTTATCATAAACCCTTGCTGAAGATGTTTTTGTAAGAGGTAAATTTTATTACCCTGCAGAATGTAATGCATGTAGAAATGTGAAGTGAGCAGCCCCATACAGAAATGATTCCTAAAGAAAAAATGTAGAACAGTACAATATCATTTATATTTTCATTTTAATAAGTTTTTAACAATTGATGGGGAAACAAAACTTAATGTAAATCTGCTAGTACAGAAATTATGTTTAGGAATATAGGTCTAGCTGATTTTTTACTACAGTTATTTTGTTGAATGAATACATTGTTTTGAATACTTAAAAATAAACATTTTTTTGTTATTAAGTAGTAAAAAAACTGTTTTGTACATGAAGCAAAATGTTGTGTTTCAGGCTCCTTCAGGGAAACCGTATCAGATCCATCACTAAGAAGTCATTTTCTGGTCTAGACACCCTGGTTTACCTGTAAGTTACTTTTCAGGCTTGTGTAGTTAGAACTTTTTAAACTAGTTGTCAAAATATATTAAATGTAAAACTGCAGAAAACAGACCCAGCTGTGGGATATCAGATGATCCCCTTTCTTCTTTCCTTTACATAAATTAGCACAAAGCAATGACCAATGCTGTATGTAACTGTGTGGATTTCCTTCTGCTAGAATTTGCATTGATTACTCTTTGTGTGGGTGTAGACAAAAGCTGTGCATTTCTGAGCCAGTAACATATGCATTTAATTAGATTTTCACAGTTGTGTTGCATTTTAAAGGAGTTAAAGCTCAGCACTGCATGATTAACCAAGTATGGTGCAGCCCAATTTAATTGCCCTTAAGCTCTGACTTTTTTTGCTTTGATAATTGAAGTGTTTGCAGCCCTTCAGTTCTCCAGATATATTAAATTAACCAAATGTTTAACAAGGACTGCTTTTTAAAGCCACGGGTTTAAAACTATTCGTAAGTTCATTGCTACCTCCTCTCTTTTTTCAGAGACCTGAGCAACAATGCAATCATGTCTATTCAAGGACATGCCTTTTCACAAATGAAGCAGCTTGAGGAATTGTAAGTGTTGCTAATAGCTTTTCATGTTAATTTAAATGTCTTAAGTGTGATGCAACTTTTGTAGACAACAGTCCTTTTACCTATCTCATTGTTTGTAATTTTGTTTTCCTTTCAAGCTTTGTTTAATGTAATCTTAATAGTCTGTAATTACTTTCTATAGGCACTTAAACACGTCCAGCTTCTTATGTGATTGCCAGCTGAAATGGCTGCCATCGTGGGTGGTAGAGCACAAGTTTCTGCCCTTCATTAATGCCAGCTGTGCCCATCCCCAGTTGTTAAAGGGAAAAAGTATATTTAATGTGAACCCAGAGGATTTTGTATGTGGTAAGTTTCAGTCTTATTATAGCATTAATTACATTTTGCTAAAAAATACATTTTGATAATGGCTGTTCAGTGCAGGGGAGTCAAACTCCTTTGCTACATTGGACCAGCTTTCATTTAAATGAATTTTTAGTGGGCCATACATAGTACTAATAATTCCACGTAATGTTTTTACTTAGCATTTCAGCCATTTGTGGCTGTTTTGTGTTTTTGGTGTTTGTTATGACGTAACCTCCTTTAAAATGCAGTTAGCAGTCACTGTGTCTTCAGATGCCACTAGGGGAAGTTTTTTTAGCCTTGTTATCTGTAATCATTCAAAATATAACATTTGTGATTATTGTACACTGCATAAGTATTGCTCCTGCTGAAAATAATATTGTAAGGACATCTTGTTCTACAAATTACAAAAATAAATACACCACTATTGCTATACGCATGCTCGTTTTATGAATTTTTGCTATATCAAAAACTCTGCTCTTTGTAGCCTTTTTGCTTTTAATCTGACTTAGTATTTTATTATCATTGAACATCCTGCTTATTTTTAACATAGCCTTGGCAAAATGATTGAAGTGTTCGGGTGCTTCAGATGTTACAAAATCAAAGAAAACAAGGAAGGCTTGTCTCCTGGCTGTAAGATCTGAAATGACAGAAAGCATTGAAAACAAACAAGTGACCAAAAGATATTGCTTTGCATTTAGCCACACTATGCAGTTTTCCAACAGTTTACCATTTTTACACATTTTATTTATATTGTGAACTGCAGTACTAAGTTAAATGTTCTTCTTAACTATGTTAAACCAACAATACTCTTTTTGACAATTCAGTACTCTTAAGGCAATATTGCACAATTTTCTAGACCTTTGGAACGAGCTGAATGCTTTTACATATGAAGTAATAGGAATTTTGTTATATGAAATTTCACATTACACATCATTTTGAGAATTTTGTAAAATGAGGGATTGACTGTATATGAGCTGATAAACTGCAGGACTGAAATGAGAGTTAAACTGGCTACAATTACCTGTAAAACCTGCGTGAGCAACTGATAAAACTAACATAGCTCCTGCAGTGATAATTAAAAAGTTTGTAGTTTATATTTACTTTTAAAAAGCAGAGTCTTTAAAAGTCAAGGTTCAAATGCATTGTGTGACAGAAAAAATAACACTAGAATTACAAAGCACTCTTTTCTAGATGTTGGCAATACACAAACAAACAAATTCACGTTTCTTCTTTGGAAAATCGTTACCTTTTGTAGAAATCAAACATGCTTTCCTTTCACTTCTACAAAGAAATATGCATTTCACTACTTCTCTTAAACAACACAACACTATTTATTCTTCTTTCATTCTCTAACATAATTATATGGTCGTTATTACAGTGTTCAAAATATTATTTTGAAAACAAATATTAGATACATTTCCGGTTCAACTGATGCTCCAAAATATTTATTTGTTTGTGTAAAAATACGCTTATCTAAGACATAATTAGAACATGGTCACCAAGACGGGATCAAGGTAGAGAACTCCATGCAGCATTGTCACAGTAACATTACCTAGTATGCCTGCTTCTTGCGTGGGGTCTTCTTGCTCAGGCAAGATGCAGATTGAAGCCTGGCTGATGATCATGACTGCCATGGGGGTTGAACAAATGGGCTTGGATGGCCAGCTGTGGCCTTATGTTTGACACCCAAGAATCATCCCAGCCTCGTTTTGTGCGGAGAGTAACTGAGCTGATTAAGAGGCTTCCTCTATTTTCATCAAATGAAAAAAAAGAGTGTTATTTCATTGCACCCAAACCTGGTTATAATTTGGAAAATAAAAATGTATACACACTGGTCATTTTATTTTAGGTTCATTTTTTCAGTAAGTTTAAAGAACTTTCCAACAGGATTTTTCTCAAAAGCTGATTATTTTCACTTTATAGAGGAATTGCATTTTTTTAAGGCTGAACTTTTTCCAGACATTTAGAAATGACCACAATCATTCTATGTCTTCATGAGGACACACATTAATAAAATATTTATTGGAAAGCTGGATATTATTTCTCAGCATACTGAAGGTACAAGGTTTTTGGTACAAAGACCAATATTTAGAGTATCTTTTCCTTTTTTTTAAATTCATGCCCCCATTTAAGATGGACAGGATAAAGTACAATTAAAAGGCCTTTTCTTTGCCACCATTTCTACGTTTCTAATCATATTTCTGATAAGACTTTAAAAAATCTAATGTGGAATGGGTACATTCTAGGAAGGAACACTTACCTAATTTACACAAAGTGTGTAATGGTTCAATATGTGTATGCAAACATCATGGCAGAGGCATGGTGCACAGGCCCTGGAACTAGATTTTTTTTTTTATGTGCCCTGGAATATAATGGGATTGTGCCTGGAGTGTATTCTGCCTTGCAGCCATTGTCTGCCAGGTTAGGTACCAGCTCACCTCAGCCCTTTATTGATAAATGCTTGTCTGTAAAATAGTTCTTTTAATTTTACTATTTTAAGTTAATTTAAATCTTTGTTTTACAGATGATTTCCCCAAACCTCAGATTAGAGTGCAGCCTGAGACTCAGTCAGTAATAAAGGAATCCAATGTGAGTTTTGTATGCTCTGCTGCAAGTTCCAGTGATTCCCCAATGACGTTTGCTTGGAAAAAAGACAATGAGGCACTGGACGATGCTGAAATTGAGAATCATGCTCATCCTCGTGTTCAGGAAGGCGAAGTTGTGGAGTATAATACAACCCTCTGGCTTCGTAATGTAGACTTTAGCAGTGAGGGCAGATACCAGTGTGTGATATCAAATCACTTTGGCACATCGTATTCTACTAAAGCCAAGCTCACTGTAAACAGTAAGTGCCTTTTTTCATTGCCTGTGAATGAATAACAACATGTAAAGTATGGGTTTGCAAACACTATTGTCTGTCCTACCTGTTATTAAAAAAAAAACGTATTACGTTACAAAAAAGTAAATAAAGTGCCTCTCTTGGAGCTGGACGGTTACCACTTTCATGAAATATCATAATGTTTGTAATATGTCTTTCCCCGTTTAACTGCAGTATGTTTTATATTGTAGTGCTTCCGTCCTTTACTAAAATGCCCATGGATCTCACAGTAAGGGCAGGAGCCACAGCCCGTCTGGAGTGTAAAGCTGTTGGGCACCCCAGCCCTCAGATTGCTTGGCAGAAAGATGGTGGCACAGATTTTCCCGCAGCCAGAGAGAGACGCATGCATGTCATGCCGGAGGATTATGTTTTTGTGATAGTTCAAGTCAAAACTGAGGATATAGGAGTGTACACTTGTAATGCCCAAAACACTGCTGGGACAGTGTCTGCTAATGCTACGCTAACTGTGCTGGGTAAGAGCTCATTTTACCTTTTAAAGAAGGGAATATTGACCTAGAAATAAAATGAAGTGTAGTATCAGTATTATTGTACTCCATATCACTTACAAACAACATATAAAAAGCTTACTTTAGGACAATAACAAAAAAGCTAACTTTTAGGAGGTAGAATATATATATAATTAGCTGCCATTTCTGCAGCTGTACTAAATAACTTATGTTTATGACTTATGTTATATAACTTATGTTTGTGTTTTTTTCCATACAGAAACACCATGTTTCTTGCGTCCATTGACAGACCGAACTGTTGCAAAAGGTGAAACTGCAGTTCTACAGTGCATTGCTGGTGGAAGTCCAGCCCCCAAATTGAACTGGACAAAAGACGATAGTCCTCTAGTTGTGACAGAGAGGCACTTTTTTGCTGCTGGAAATCAGCTTCTTATCATTGTGGACACAGATGAAGAAGATGCTGGGAAATATACATGTAAAATGTCGAATACACTGGGGACAGAAAGGGGTAATATTAGGCTGAATGTCCTCCCAAATCCAAATTGTGAGTCAACTCAAAATACTAGTCAAGGAACAGAGGAGGATGGCTGGACTACAGTTGGCATTGTGATTATTGCTGTCGTATGCTGTGTGGTAGGAACCTCTCTTATTTGGGTGGTCATTATATACCACACAAGAAAACGCAATGAGGACTGCAGTGTGACAAACACAGGTATTTTAATCTGCTTACTACTCTGTGCTCCCTTTTCAGATTTGTTTCATCACAAGAACGGATTCGTGTAAAGTTCTGCTTGTTGATAGGTGCCTGTTAGATTAATTTTTCTTTTAAAGCAAAATAAATATAAACTTGCATGTGAATAGGAAACAAGAGAAATTGGTTTTAACATTGGCTTCCATTCTTCCTTAGATGAGACAAATCTGCCTGCAGATATTCCCAGCTATTTGTCATCACAGGGAACATTGGCTGATAGACAAGATGGTTACGTGCTTTCAGAAAATGGCAGCAACCATCATTTCATGTCATCTTCGATTTCTGGATTTTACATGCAACAGAGAGATCTAAATGGTATGTCTTTAAAAAACCATGGAAATTTCACTCTTATAAGGCTTATAAATTTGCTGTAATGCGGAGAAATGAAATTTAAAAGATGTGACTTTAAAAAGCATCAATAAAAGGTCAAGTAAAAAGTGTTGTTGATGAACTGTTACAGGCATTTGTCACCTGGATAATGGGAGTGAAGCAGACATTGAGGGAGTAATGGACCCTCTTCTTTGTCATTACCAAGCAACCATAGGATCAATGCGAACCAGGGAAAATATGTATAGCACTGACTCCTCTGAAGGGTTCACAGGTAAATGTTTTTCCTCTGAGTTATGAAACATTCCAGCTTTATGTATTGTTAGGCTACTTTTGTCACATTGAACATACTGTTTTTACTTCCTGTATTTGAATCTAAGCTTTACTGTACTTAACTTAGTGTATTTTTGGCTTTTGATGTACGTAATTCTATGATTAATAATAGTGATAGTTCCCTCATTATACTATTAACACTTTATCATCTTAGAAATAGTTGGAAGTTCTTTTGTATACATTGTTCTCATTTTGCCATTTTTTTTACATCTAGGTTACTCAGCTGACCAGAGAGCTGTTTGTGTTGATTCTTGTAATGGAAGCCTAATATATTCAAAGAAAAATTATTATCCATGTGGAAACACAATGGAGGACCCATTTGACTCAACAGCCACCAGTGTTTTAATGCAGTTGCCCAGTGGAAACCTTCATAGTACAATTAATGCTCATAACGAGGGATCATCCACAGAAAGTGACATTCAAGACCACAGCAGGCCCCGGGAAAGAGTGCCATCAAACACATTCATGGGTAGGTTGAAATGTAAATATGTAACAATTAATTTTGTAATGAGAGGCTTATACAATTTAATGTGCATATCACAGTGCCTTGAATGATGTCAGCTTTCAGAGTTTTCATTTTGGCATTCTTGGAAGTCTGAACTCTGACAGCCTGTGGTCGATTCATTTTCCAGGAACTTTTGGGAAGACACTGTGGAGGCCACAACATGATTTCTATTCCAACTACAGCCAGTCTACTTCATACAACCCAGTGACGTTACATGAAAACCCTTATGCTGCAGTGGACACAGACTCTGAACCTGATGAAGACAAGGCCAGAGAAACTCAACGGTCTATACCTGAGCAGAATGCAGAAATCTACGAACAGCCATTTGATAGTAACAGGACTCTTACTATTCTGCCTTACAGGACAAGCACATAATAGTTTTTCTCCTTCAGATATTGAGAACTAAATGGTTATTTCTTATCAAGAATTGGAAGAAAACTACCTCAGTACTGAACACATTTTGTGCACAATTTGGATGTTATAATCATTCAGAGGAAGTGCACAGCAACTTATGATCTTAACAGATTGGACTGTTTCAAATAGAAATGGGAAATAGCTTCATTTTAAGAAGAGTTTAAATTTATGCATTTTTATACAGAATATTATTTTGTAAATTAATATTGTAAATAGGAATGTAACTGAATTTGAGTGTTTTAAATTACTGTTTATGAAACTTAAAAATTTAAGCTTCTGACAAATGTTAGGCACCTTTTGCACATAAATATACACAATAAAACATTATCCTTCTGCTGCTATAAACATTAAAAAATGAAAATGCTGTGACTTTTTATAATATTTCATATTATGAATTATGAGCTGCTTTTTATTTTTTATTTGAAAGAATTTCATTTACAGCCATTGTCAAGTATGTATTCCCAAACTGTTGGAGCAACTGAAAGAAAATTATGGGCTTGCCTTTGTTCACACTTTGGTCTGGATATGCAACAATGGAAATTAAATGTCTAAAGGGGAAAAAAACGCAATTCACTGCACATTCCTATTGCTGCTTGATGACACTCAGGAGTGGGTGTTGTCTGAAAGCAAGAATTCTTTCAAAGAAAATCTCTGCGACCCGGTGATACTTTAAAAGTACTCTCAGAGACTTCCTTAACACAGCACGCTCTGATGATTAGCATGGTGTGGATTCAGTTTTCTCTGGAGTTGTGAGGCACATTCTGCACTTTGGATGGTGGCTTTTCCTAATATACCACTCCAAAGTTTCCTGTCATTTTATTTTTTACTATAGAAAATAGTAAATGTAAATGTTGGCAGCATAGTGGTTAGCATGGTTGGCTCGAAGCACTGGGGCCCTGGGTTCGATTTCTGGGCTGCTATCTGTGTGGTTTGTACAGTATGTTCTCCCAGTGTTTGCATGGATTTTCTCTGTGTGCTGTGATTTCCCCCTCTCCCCCATAGTCCAAAGACATATGGGCTTCTGAAAAAATACCCTGATGTGAGTATGTGTGTGTGTTTATGTCTGTGTGTGCCCTGTGAGAGACAGTTGTCCTGTTCAGGATGTATCCTGCCTTGTTCTTGTTGCTTGGCAAGATAGGCTCTGACTCCCCCATGTTCCTGTATTGGATAAATAGGTTAGAAAGTGAAAGAAGAAAATACTAATGGAAATGGTTTTCCAGTGTTCAGATCCGATATGAAGAGGTGTTAATTGTTCAGTTTACAAGTCAGATTACTACCATGTTTTTAAGAAATTAAAAAAAATTTCGATGATGATGATGATCCATTTTAACTAGAACAGACTACTAGGTAAGTTTTAGAATTTAAAAGGACACCATACAGCGACAAACACCTCTGGTTTGCTTGGGCATCTATCCATCTTGGCTGAACTTTGTTTTCCATTTTGTTTTCTCAGATCTTTTATTCTAATGTGTTTTACTACAATTCACAAGAAACTAACAATTAAGCATGAACATTTGCTGGCATCTTTGTCACCTCATTTGTTTTACTTGATGTTTTTATGAATGTTTTAAAATTAATCTCCATTGGGTTACACTTAATGCTAAACTGTGCTATAAAAAGTTGAAATGAGTTGTAGCCCACTGAATAACAGCATTTACTAAAACCTCTAACATTTGGAATGGGTTATAACTCTACAAATCAATCAATGATTGCTAATGGTGGCAGGGGGTACACATCAGTGAGGTTACTCGAGGAAACCCATCCACCCCAATCTAGTTTCCTAATTTGTTCTTTCTGTGATTGTGCAGTGCCCATCTTATTAAACATAAATGTATAATGGCATCTTACAAAGTAGAAAGTAGTTCATGCTGCTATTCAGATCATATTTTAATGCATACTTTCATAGGAAAATATGTTTGTGCTTAATAAGGAACATACCAGCACTCCAGGAACTTGATTTTCTTTTTAACATTTATTGCAACAGGACACTTGTATCCCACTTCAAATCAGCTGTATGGCAGATTCTGACTGCAACATTTAAAGAAAATCTAGTCACCGGGAGCCAAACTGCAGTGTTTCACAGATTCTTACCCTAAGCATATAAATGATTTTCGAGTCTCTTCAGGTCACTTGGATGACTGTCTTGCAGTGACGAAGAACACAGCAGGAACCACTTGCTTCAGAATATAGTTAATGTCAAGTAATATTCAGTTGAAGAATAATATTGGAAAGATTGTGTGGAAGCTAAAACCTCCTCTTGCATTTGTAATGTTTCTCTAGTAATTAGTGATTTGCTTCAGATTATATAATGTGTAACATTTCAGTTTTTTACATTGCATTTTTTTCCAGCTAAGATGGGGAAAACAATGCACTGGACTAATACACAGATTAGAAGCAAGTCAATAAATAAATATCCTAGTTTTAAGAGCATTTGCTTATGTTTTGCTGGTTATACATACTGTATATCAATGATACATTTGTGAATGGATTTTAGTATGCGTTGTGGCATTCTTTGCTTTGTATGTGCAGCAAAAGATTGTATATGGCAACATGTTTAGTGCATCTTGGTGTGGATATCAGCAGTTCTGATCAGCAGGAAAGTGGCCAGTTTAAACGTTCTGTGAAGGAGTCTTAGGAAATTGGCTGAGATGCTTTTTATGTGGATTGTGAGAAGAGCCCAGAATAACCACTCTTCAAGACAGATTTTAATCAGGTTTCCCAGTGAAAATAATTTCCACATAAGTTTAAGTACTGCAATAAGGTTGTAAATGTAATTTGTAAGTGGAATTGTATTCACAAGCTATATTATTGAGGAAAGTATTAATTGTAAAAGACCTTGATTTAATGCATTTTTTAATAGTCTAGATTGTTTTCAATCTAACGGGAGTATGTACTTTTACTTTCATGAAGGAACTTTTTGACGTTTACCGTTTTACTTTTCATGATAACATTCTAGCAAAGTAGAAACCATTTTTGGAGCACATTTATTCAATAATTGCAATACCTAATGCCTCAAGAGAAAATGATAGGCAAACAACAGTTCTTTAAAGCAGACAGGAGAAAAAGTTTTAATACAATGGCAAAGCCAGTGGAGACCTGTCAGTCTTCTGCCAGAAAAATACACAGATTACAGTCTGATTTTACTCCTTTGATTTGGGCGCCAGAGGACGAGACAGGAAGTCGATCATTCTTCAGACCACCAGTGACTAAGCACAGAAAATGAATTTTGCATGCTTAGGTTTATCTTATTGCCAGATTCTCTGAATTTCGTAGCTAATTTGTCTTTATCGTTGCCATATGTGGTGATGTGGAGACAGATGTTGACAATACATACTGAATGGTGTTAAACAGATCATAGAATGTTAATACTTTTGTTCAGAAGGTAACATTCTAAATGTGTTTATGTGGAGTTTTGAGGTAAAAATACCAAAAAAAAAGTATTTTTGTCTTGATAAAGCAATTGGATGAATTCATAGTAGTTTCTATTTGTTTTAAAATAAATTTCTCTTAATTTAAGTCTTATTTTTACAGTTATCAGAAGCAAAGATTTACATTTTTAAAAGATGGAAACTTATTTCCCCTGCACTGCCTTTTTTTACATGTAAAAAGTTTACTGATTTTAATGTAGAAAATGTTTGTTTACAGTAAATTCTAAATATTGTTTAATTAACTTAACACCTGAGATGAATCAGTGCTGCCTTAAAGACAGCTTTTGAATATTCCTACTGATTGAAAACTACAAAACTTTAGCAAACAACAAATTAAACTTTCAATTGATTCCAGAGTTTTAAAAAAGCAAGCTCTGAAACCCATCCTTTTTTACAACTATCAGACAAAACTGCCATTAAGCTGAGACTACAGATAACACAAGGATATATATACTGTATATCGGGCAATATTTCTATAATACAAAATCATATTTTAAATCATGTACAGTCAGAGCCCCTTGAGGATTTGTTTAAAAGTTCATTATTAAATTGATTAATGGACAGCCATAAATAACCTGAATTTTATAGTATATCTGAAGAACTAAATCATTAAGGAAACACATTCATCACCAAAAACTCTTTCTTTCTGGGTATAATCAGGTCACCAGAAACATGAGGTGCAAGGTAGGATTATACCCTGGATGGAACATCAGTTCACCACTAAGCATAGAACACAAGCATAGGAAAAAACCAGAAGTACCAAGTAAACTATCCAGCATGCATTTGGAAAATGGGAGGAAACTAGCACCCCAGAAAGCCTATGGAGACATTGAAAAAACATGAAAATGTTATATGGCAAAGAACTGAACCTAGAGCTTAGGAACTGAGAGGCCACACCGCTGACCTCCCATACAACTGCCTAACAGTACATTATAACTTAGCATTGGCATTTCACAACACTAAAATTCAGTGATGTTTTTTTTTTTAAGAGCAAGACGTTACTGTGAATTATGGGAGTATAAGTTCTGCTTAGCTCGATCTGGCTATAACCATGATAGGTGTTTCTAGTAAGATGCATATCATCTTCTGTGCTCATAAGTTAGCTATAACATGCTGATGAGACCTAATGTGGCAAAACAGCTTCATGGTGCTACTGACTTTGTGGAATTTTACAAAGTGGAAGCTGAAATTTGTTTAGATGGTTCTGGTTTCTAGCACTGTTAAATATTCAGAGCTACTTAATAATCTTATCTGCATAATGAGTGCTTGCTTATAAAAGTTGCAGTTGAAGTTGAATTTAACAGCATAATTCTGAAACCTTAAAAGGTCAGCCTTGTAAAATATATATACACCAACTGGTATTCTTGATTTTCAAAAGCTCATCATATAACTGTAGGGTGTTTGCTTATCCAGACTGTTGGCCTACTTCAGTTAGATGAGATTGCCTTCATAGGTTTGAAGTGAGCCTGTCATCTGGTTAGTTTATTCACTTTCCTTTTCTTTTAAATATCCCACCCGATGTTTGTTTAACTGGTGAGGTATTTGTGCTTGATGATTGCCATTAATAGTACAGAGAGAAGTTTAGATTATCTCTATAGACAAATAATTGTTTTGTTAGTATATGGCTGAAGTCATAGGAGCAGACCAGCTGCAGTTTTAAACAAACTAAAATGACATCTTCTTAATGGGCAGTAAACCTGCAGGCTAATCCTGTGATTCTTGTCAGCCATTTAAACATGCATACAGGTTCATGTCCTTTCTTGGCTGTCTTTTATGTTGAGTAAGAGACTAAATAGTTAAAAGCCGATACAAACATTTTTTTTAACTTGCAGATGTTGCAATAAATCATTGACTGGGCTGCCACAGCAATTGGCTGTTTGACAAATGTTCCACAATAATACAGACCCGTAAAATGTGGAATTTCAGAAGCATTGCTTGTAACTCTTTCAGGGCAATTGTAAATTCCCAGCCGTGTCAGCACAGGTGGAAAATGTGCCATAAATAAAACACACATGCTTTTCTTTTTATTTCTTGCTATCAAACCTTAGCCATGACTAATCCTATATAACACAATTACTAAAGCAGTTTCTGTGTCTAAGTTCTAAAGATTCTACATTTGGAAAAAAAAAGCCTTTGGCCACATCATGTCAGATAAGACACTATAGTGGTGACACAAGATGAACTTCTACTAGTATGTTTCATACAAAAATCTTTTCAGATGTTTTGTGCTCACCAATTAAAAAGCAGGGAACCATGCAGTTTGTTATTCTAGATTATTTTTAAACTTTTTTTCCAATACAGTTTTAAATCTGCAGACCAAAATAGTGTGCAGTCTTGAAACAAAATGCCCACTTTGTACATTTCTGTTCCTTTCATATGTAATCAATGCAAGTCTTCAGGACAGTCTTCTTGCCTATATTCATTTA